ATTTTATCTGAAGATGATGTGAGGTTTCCCTCTGCACTGCTTTTTTACCCCCAAACCCTGCCTCAGGCTGGTTTGACTGTGTCCTTTGGGACAAGATCACAGTGGGACTGGGAACAGACTGGCCGTGGACTAGCAGGATGCTCAGACATTCCCACCTCTACTGTGGACTCACTGCATGGGTCTGTAAGGGCAGGTATCTTCTCTGTTCTCTATATTTAAAGGCTAAAGCAACTGTGACCTACTAAGAGTAAAATAACTTAAGAGCCTGGTTAGTGTCTTATTAACTGATCATTGCCAGAAAAAGGAAGAGAAAAAATAAGCTGGAAAATACCTCTTTCACTTGCTTTATCCCACTGCCATCTAATTCCCATAACCTCTGCCTGTCTCCCTGGCCTCTTGTGTATCACTTAGCACAAGCAATACACTTGGTTGTCCCACTGAAAGACAGAATCCTGGTGCAATACACAGGAAACCCTGTAGGCAGCTGATAGCTAAGAGCAAATTTCAGTAGAAATACTGGTGAAAGACAGAGAAGGTGGATGATGAACTGAAGGCCAGCACAGAGTGATTCCTGCAGACATCACTACAGCTGCTTTTGTGTCTTCAGCAGGAGTCAGATTGAGTGCAGAGTCTGGAATGTTTTGTAGACCTCAGCCTTCTACTGTTGTGAGCAGTAGTGGAGGAGGATGGTTTTAAGGTCCCTTTCAGGCAGTTTTGTATGCATCTGAGATGCTACAGATGATTGGAATTATTTTTGCTAGCACAGTTTATTAAAAAATGTCCTTGGTGATACTGCTGCTCTGTTCTTTGTTCTGCGAGTTACAACATGAAGATAAACACATTTCTGCACATAGAGAAAGGCCAGTTAGTCTCTACTAAATTCCCAGTGAGTAGCACCTAAACTGTGGCCTTGAGAAGCTGCAAAGGTTTTATCAAATAGGGGGAAAATGGTCTAAAGCCTGAAGACTGGCCTCCACTCCTGGAAGAAGCACTGGATGCTTTAGATCTCTGCTGTGGTCCTTCCAGATGCTGGCTTGCTCCAAGCAGGTGATGTTCTCAGTTCAGTACCCGGAGCCTGTAGAGCTGACAAGGTAAGCAGAGCATTTCCAGATTCTTGTGGCGGGAAGAAATCCTTAATTCAGCAGTCCCAGTTCCCTGATTTCCAGCACAGCTGCTTGCTTCTCACATTCCACTGCTGCTTGGCCATGCTGGCCTATTATTGCAAAGATGGCAACTGGTGGTGTAACATTTTCTTCTGTGAGAAACACAGTCCCTTGCCACTTGCATAAAGAAATTCCTGCAGCATAAGTCTACGTGCTTGTGTTTTTCCTCTGTGTACATAACCTATAACTATTTTTAGCTATGACATGGACTTTTCATATTTATCTCTGCTTATTTTCAAAGACCTTAACATTTGGCACGTATCATATTAGTCCCACCGATTTTGTGTTGCTTTTCTTCCCTATTCCCTTCATTCCTTGCCTTCCTCCTTCAGTGGATCCCAGCCCATGGCCTCCTTCCCACAGGCACAGGCTGGTTTCAGCATGTCTGCCCCACTCAGATTTAGCCTAGACCCTTCCCCCAACCCAAAATTAATAAACCCTTCTCACAATACTCACAGTGCTGGTGGCTTATTTCCAGCTCTTAAACTTACAAACCTATTTATAGCTCAAAAGGCTTGAAAAGAGATCATTAAGGGAATAGATAGATTTGTGAATGTAGAACAAAGATCTGATTCTGGGATTTTCTGTAAGCAATTATTTAGTGTAAATAACAATGTTTGACACCTGCTTTCCTCTCCCATTGAAATCGCAAAGCAGTTACATCTATGAATCCTTAGCCCGAGTGCTGCAGAGAGAGGAGTTGCCCTTGAGGGTCTTAGACTGACACCATGTTCCAATCTACTAATATTATTTTTCTTTTGAATTCACTGACTTGCTCTTACTCTGTCTGTGACCCCACTCACGCTCCTCCTCACCTCAGAGGCTGAAGCATGAGTGAATTAGACCTTCAAAGATTCGAATTATATCAAAAATATAGCACTGTAGTCCTGAATGGTGACATTCAATGGAGACTCTGAGCTCCTCGCTTTATTCTAAGCCATTAAGCATTGTCATTCATCTATAAAATATGGCACAGTTATACACTGATGCAGAGAGATTATTTTTTTCCCTATTTCTTCATTTCCCTTCACTATTAATGTAATGTGAATATCATTCACATGGTGAGTGTGGGGCTCAGGAGCTCCATCCTACTCCTGCTCTATAGTGACGACTCGAATACCTTTTTTGTGCAAATTATGTTTTCTTGTTTTCCTTTGGTTCTGAAGAAAAACTGCAAACTTGCAGTTAGTGTTTGAAAACCAGTGCTAAGTTGAAAAGTTCATGCATTCCTCATGGGAATGCGCTTCAGAATTTCTCTTCTGGATTATGTCTCCACACAGAGAAATCAGGACTCAAGTTATCAGTCGCAAACCCCAAACAGGACTCAAGCTGAGAACACAGCCACGTCAGTTTATCATGACTTTTTTATCCTCAGATTTGTATTTTCTTCTATTTCCCTGCCCCTCTTCAGGTCTAAGTGTCACTTTGCTGCTGGTCACAAAAGCTCAGCTCTGTTGTGTGCCAGTTTGCTCTTTCATTCCACTGAGTTTGGCCAGTGGTGCAAGGACAATCATGTTGACTTAACCAAGCAAAGCCATCCACCTGCACCTAACACAGCCCAAAGCTGGTGAAAGCACAGTATCTTCCTTTTCATTGACTCTTTACTGTGAGCCTTGGCAAGGATTTCAAAGTCCATGCAGTTTTCCCTGGGCCATCATCAACGTGCGATCAGAGACCTCACTCTGAAGATTCCTGGCCATGCTCGAGCAGTGCTGTAAGTTCAGAACTCCTCTATTACACATATTAGTACACAGATCCCTTGTACCCAGAGGTGTGCCTAAGAGACACACCTCAGTGATATTTCCACTAGAAAATAGGGCAAAAATTAGCTCTATTTCTGAGGACATTTTTAAGGGCATTTTAATCCAAGTCAAAATATTAGGCTTCAGCAATGAGAATTCGAGTGTATGTTGTTGGTTTAGGTACCTTCTGGATGAGGAACTGTAACATAGTGATAAAATGGGGACACAGGGAATGAGTTAAATGGTGGGGAGAAAATCCAGAATCACAATTCTTTAGGGCACCACGAGGTATGACTTGAGGGTGAGACCAGAAGTGTCTCTGTAGACACCAAGAGCACGTCTAAACATCATCAGGTTCCACAGAGGTTTTCTTCCACTCTTATGCAAAGCTTGACCTGGTTGATCTTCTCACAGCTCATGTAATGAGATGAATTAAAAACCCTCTTATCCTTCTACTCTTTCAGTCTATTTGTGCAAGGCACAGTCACTTTTAAACTATGATGGACTTGGCAGAAAGACTTCACTGAGATTCTTTAATATTCTTCCTTGTAGTGTTCACTGGGCTGTATTTATATGGCTTTGTCCACAGCATGTGCACCATCACTTTTTTTTCACCTGAAATATGCCTTCACTTAGACTGAGAATTCAGAGGTCTGTGATATCCTTCTGTGTCTCATCCTCCATCCTTGGCCCAGCTACAAATCTTTTACACCTTAACAGAGACTCGTTGGAGCAGAGACCTGTTGGCCCTGAGGAGGTGCCAGATGCTCTAGGGCATAAAAAAATTATGGCCCAGAAGAGGGCCAAGTTGTTGATGAATAGCAGTGGCAAGTGCCAGATCGCTGATGTCTCTCAGGCCTGTTGGTGACTCCCATGGATACACCTGTGCTAATGAACGGGTGCCAGGGCCCACCCTTGGGTCCTGGGGACAGCTGGCATTGTCTGGACATTTCCCTACTTTTAGCTTCACTTCCAAAACAAGTATTCAAACTTCCTACTATTAGTACTCCCTGGTCCAGGTTAACTCCTGAACCTTTGTTTAGGGGAGTGCTGCTTACCCTGGGCCGTAATCATGACCAAGACCACTCCAATGGCTTCACAGTGTTGATGTTTCAGTATTTGAGCCTGCTTTCTGATACTCTTCATGCCCAACTAATGCTGACTTTCTTTGTGGTTTAGCAATTTCTTATTTACAAACATGAAGAATTTTTTCCCCTGCTTTCCAATTTCTTTGAATGCCGTGATTGTCTCCCAGTTTTCAGTGCAGGTGTCCCTTGGCAGATCTGCAGCAACACTATGTGCTTGTGTTCACTGCAGTTAAAAAGTGGCAGCAGTATTGTAGAGATACAACAGAAATCTCTGGTTTGAAGTGATCATAAACCATAGCTCAGCATTTCCCTTACTTATTTGCAGCATCACACAGGTAAACCAATCCCTGCTGAATTCCAGGCTGCACATCCAGCTGGTACTTCTGCAAGATAGACACATCCTATGCCCCAGGCTTCCAGGATCTGAAGAGCCTGGAGGATCAGGTCCTAAATAGCTCTCTAAAGGTCATGAGGAAAGTCTGAACAGGGTGTGGAAACAGTTCTTCCAATATACAACCCAGCACAACAGCCCCCGGAACACATTTTACTCAAATTTAATAGGTGATGGGACATATGAGGTGATGGCCTCATGAGATCCCACCTGTGGTACTACATCCAACTCTGTGTCTCCCAACACAAAAGGACATGGACCTGTTGGAGCATGTTCAGAGGAGGGTCACGAAGATGATCAGGGGGCTGGAGCACCTCTCCTATGAAGACAAGCTGAGAGAGTTGGGGCTGCTCGTCCTGGAGAAGGCTCTGGGGAGACCTTAGAGCACCTTTCAGTACCTAAAGGGAGCCTACAAGAAAGCTGAAGAGGGACTTTTTACTAGGGCAGGTAGTGATAGGACAAGAGAAACTGGCTTCAAACTGCAGGAGGGGAGATTTAGGTCAGATGTCAGGAAAAACTTCTTTACTCTGAGGGTGGTTAGGAACTGGAACAGGTTGCCCAGAGTTGTGGATATTCCATCCCTGGAAGTGTTGTGACCATGTTGGATGGTCTGTTGGGGGCTCTTCAGCATCCACAGGGGACAGGCACACTCAAGACCAAATCAGGTCTCATTAAGGACAGCTCTGGTGAGTTCTGGAGCAGATCCTGGCAGGTGCTTATCACATGCAGACTGAATGTCTGCATGTATTAACATTGCATGTATTAACACTGGGGAAAAATTAGGGTAAGGTTAGGGGAAGGCAATCACTTTCTTAGTAACACAGAGTTCACATATCTTCCCACTTACTAAAACATCAATATTTTAAAACAACCTTTTTATTTTCCACCATACTTGGATCCTAGGGTCTTATTTCTGCTGTCACATCCAGTCTGCTGAAAGAGGCAGGTTCTGTATCATAGTCTGCGGTATGATTTTCTGTTTGTTCTTTTGAATGACTTTGCCCAAAGGGGTGATAATAAAAAAATGTGAAAGCTGGTGTCAAAATAATTTCTCTGAGCCTGGAACACACACTTTTTTCATTATTCTTGACATTCTCTTTTACTTGTCTTTTTTCCCCTCTCCACTTATGTTCAGTATTAAAGCAAAGTAAAACACATAGTACAGATAATTCTGCTTTCAGATTTCTTGGCTAGCATTGGCCCGCTCTCAAGTGGATGTGTGGGACTTCTGAACATTGCATATGGTCTTTATATTCCTGTGATTTATGAAGACACATGATTTTCCATTCACAAGTTCACAAGAGCATGGTCATATGACTCCTGTTATTGAGAGTCCTCTTGCTATTTAACCAGAGCCAACAGCTACAGAAGCAATTTAATCCAGCAGCAAACTTAAAAATAAAAAGAAATCCTCAATATTGTCATACAGATTATCCAAAACGGATCTTATTGGGTCCTTCCATTCTGCTGGCCAAGTGGGTGATGCTTCCAAGAGAAGGGGAGCTAACCCAGTTCTTCATGCTTGTTATTCGAGTGGAAAACTGGGATCTGGAAGGGCTTTAGGAACAGACCCTTCCTCCCTCTGATATTTAGGACGATGTCAGGGATGTCTGGTGTTTTCTTGGTACGTGCTGTTGTGAAGAACTGAAAGGAAGAGGGCCCATGTTTCTGTAAGGCTGCTTACGTGTGCTGTTGGGTATTCACTGACCCCGTGACATGGTCTGTAAGGAGGTGCCAGTGTTTATGCTCCCACTCCATCTGCGTGGCTCTTGGATGTCCTCAGTGCTTGGAGAGCAGGAGCCAAATGGCAGCTGAGCAAGGTTGGAAAGGATCAGGAACAGATGATGTTGTTACAGAGATAATCCTCAAATAAGGTTGTTTTAGGAAGAGAAGAACTAGTCTCGTGGTGATACCTTGTTGACACCAACCGCTGGCACAGCTGGCGAGGAGTTTCTCCCCCTCTCAGCCCTCTTCACCTCTTTCTAAATTGTTTCCTCCCTAACCCAGATTTTCGGTTTTAAAGCCCGCTGTGAGGCACCTGATCTGCTCCTAAACACACTCACAGGTATTTCTTACATTTAACAAAAGCAGAGGGCTGATTTTTGAATGAATGCCATCGTTTCGACATTTGCATTTGGGAAATAGCATCTCCAAACCTGTGTGTCAGGGGTGACATCTCAGGATCAGATGTGGTTTGGCTGGAACCACGGCATTGTTCCCAGGCATGGCTGCTTCTCCTGAAGGCAGAGCAGGGCAAGGATTCGTGCTCTCAGTCTAAATAAAACATAAGCTGACATATTTTCACTCTTTAGTATAGAGAGTTCAGCAGCTCTTTAAGCAATATATTAGATGATGTACTGACGTGGAGGACACAGTGGTGCAGCTCCCACATCAAATGAAAAAGGTGGGAAAATGACAGATGCTCCATGTGGGTTTTTTCAAACCACCTGTCTTTAACATCCATAGCTGAAAAATGGTTCAAATGAAAATTTTTGTTCACTCTGGGTTCCTGGCAGACCATAGTGTCACAAAGCTTGTAAAAATGAATTGGATGCCACAGACAATTGGTCTTAGTGAGCTACTGAAGTCACTGCAAAAATAGGATTTGCCTTGTGGCTGAAACAAGGGATTGGGAATCTCCTGGCATCTGTTAGTCTCCACCACTGATTTGAAATGGTGGCTTGGGGCAAGGCTTTGTTTTCTGCTGCCTCCATCAAACAGTATTTCCGGCCTAGCAGAAATGCTGGTGCTGGGAAATTCACAAGGTGTACCCAGAGCCTGGCAAACATGACCCCTGCTGCAAATTCCAGGGACTGTTCACTGCAAGGACATGGGTTAAATAAATGTGTTTTTTTTCATTGTGGCTGTTTCTGTCTGTCAGCAGCAGTGGGAACACAGCAGTGAACACATCATCATTCTTCTCTGATGCAGTGGAGGAGCTGGGCCACAGGCTGAGCATGGGAGTTTTCTGAAGATGGGGTGCCCAATTGGTTTTTACATGGAGACACACACATTTTCCTGGCATGGGTGGTGCACACAATGTGAACAGTTCAGAGAATTGCTCCGAGTGGACACACTTTGCCAATAATGTTTGTTTTGTTTCAAAACAAACATGAAGTGATTGAAAAGCACAAAGGTATTGGCAGTGCCACAATGAGAAAATTTTAAAGGCACTCACACATGAGGTGTTGACTGAGTTCACATACCGGGGCACCTCTGAAGCTCGAATTTGTGAAAGAACAAAAGAGAGCTGTGTCTTCAGATCCTGCAGTTTTTCAGTGGGTTTTGAGTGCCTAGGACCTTTCACCTTTTTAAAAACCCAAACAACTGATATTTGAAAGTAATAAAAAAATGGGCATTGATGCACTTTCCTCAGTTTGATTTAGTGGTTCCTGGATTGGGCTGCAGAGTCCAGGAGATGCTGTCACTGAAAGTCAGAGGTTGATGTTGGTGGATGTAGGGTGCCCGTGGCCTGTCTGGCTCCCAAATGGTGGGGCTGGCAGGAGTGGCCAGGGATGGATTGCACCAGAGCAAGGATCAAGCGTGCTCCAGAGGAGAATAAATCAGCCACCTATAATTAGGCAGTCAGGAGGAAGACTGTTGCCCCATTACACAGCCCACTATTTATTTTTTACAGAGTTTGTGTGGTTTAGCTTCTTTCTCAATGTACAGAATTTCTCTTTTTTTTTTTTTTTTGTTCCCAAATCCAGTCCTGTAGTTCATCAGACAGTTCTTCCCAGCAGGTACTTCTGATTAATAGAAAGTGCTGTGAGGTCTCTTCAGGACACAAGGATGACTAATTCTGCAGCAAGTATCTCCAGCATAGATCAAGCAATGAGATTCAACCAAAGGACCTAGAAGCAGGTTCTGACCTCCTTTACACCAGCTGGAGTCTCAAGTAACTCCAGGAGCTTCAAAGGCTTTATCTGTCTTGTTTTAGTACAAGTAGTCCAAAATCTAAGGTGACTCCCTTGCTGCCAGCAGCAGCAATTGTTTCATACGGGAAAGGGTGGATCCTAGCCCAGCTGGGTTTGGGATGATCTCTTACACCACTCTGGCAAACAAGGTTCGATTTGGGGTAACCTGTCCCACTTTGAGTTGTGCCTTACCATAAGATCAGCTTTCTAAGCATGCAAGATATGAGGTTCTTCTAGGTGGGCTGCCATCTCATCTTTCTCTCAGTATGGTGAGTCAGAAATAAGACCTGGTCCCTCCCTTGCTGGCACACAGGTGGAGGGATCGGTAACTGAGATAATTGGATAGAATGGCCTGAATTCTGCTTTTCTTCAGCTCTTAACAGAAACAGTGACTTGGATAAAGGAGGAAGAGGAAGAGAGCAACTAGAGGGAAGATTTAATGAATAAATTTGGGTAATTTCAGTATATAATTTAGGGTTTATTACTGTTATTATACATATTTTGGATTGGACACACACTATTCATATCCCTCACTATTGCAGTCTGGAAATGTGAGGAGCTATCTTGGCATGTTAGAGAGGGACACAGCTATATTGCTGCATTATTTGTTAGAACAAACGTGACCTTTTTTCTCCAAAATTGCCTGCAGGAAGACTTTGGCCATCCCTGGGTTTTACATTACCTGCAGAATGAGTCTCATTTTCCACCCCAAGCCTTACATGGCAGGATGTGATTGTGAGACACAGCTCTACTTGCTCCGTGCACATGCTCTGACAGCACTGACATGTTTATTATGATTAATAAACATTATTATTCATAGCACAGTGGCAGCTAGAGATTCTAATTATACATTAGGGCCCTGTTACTCTAGGCCTGGTAGAAACTCATAGGAAGAAGCAGTAATTTAAATAGACAAAGAATGTTATTACCGTTTTACAGGTGAGACCCACAGAGATTTGAGAATTCATCCCATGCCTCACAGGAAGCTTTGCAGAATCAAAAGCTGAACCTACGTCCCCCAAGCTCCAACCTCTAATTTTACTGAGATGAAAATGCAGAAGGAAAGCCACTTGCATACAGCCAAGTGCATCACAGGATACACAATCTTTCTCTCAGCCCCACAGAGCTGAAGCACTTCTGGGGGATTTTTTTGTTTTGTTTTTGTATTCCCCTTTCCAGGTGATTAATTCTTCTTTTCTTTTTTGACTTACAGCTTATGAGTCGTTGTTGCACAGAGAAACTTTTCATTCAAAACAAATGAAGCTCAATTTTAATCAGGAAATCAAACACTATTTATTTTTCTTTTTATTCTTTCACTTTTTTCATATCAAAGCAGCACCAGATTGGGCCCTACAAAAAAAACCCCAAGTTCTATGTGGACTAGTATTTGATTGCCTTTTACTGCACCAAGTACCAGTTTACTTCCACAGAGGCTGGTGTGGAGCAATTTAACACCCTTTTACTGCTGGATTTTCTCATCCTGCTGACAGTGAATTTAATCTTGTACTGCCCAGGACATTCAGCAAGATCACATACAAATAACTCAGTAAGATCTCCCTAGTTCATTTAAGTATGAAGTGATGTCTTCATGATCTCTGCCACAAAAACTCAACTGAGATTCAAATCTGTCTTGAAAACTGTTGTTGTCCTGTCCTGTTGTTCCTAAGAAATTTGCCAACCACTGTATCCTGCTGGGGGAGCAGCTCGAGAGTCACCTCTGTATTTTGGCCTGTGTCTGACCATGACTGTTTTTCCCCATTTATCCCTGTGCTTGAACTTATATTTTCAGCCCCCTCAGTGCAGGTGGTTTGTTTTCTACCAGAAATTACCTTGCTATTGTACCTTGAGTGAGGAAGGAAATGGGGAAGGGCTATTCTCATACCAGCATTTGCTTTCCTCTTTCTCTTAGCTGTCATGCTTTATTTCATGTCACCCTCAGCCAAACAGGTGCAGGTACAACTTGCCAGTCTACACCATGCTGTGGGTCCTGTCCCAAACACCCCCAGGCTACAGCCTCTTTAAAACCTTTGGCAGACCTTTGGGCCAGATGGGGACATTCAAGCACTCAGCACATAACCTGGGACTGTTCCTGGTGGGCTTTCCATGGATGGAGAGAAATCATCCCTTCTTCCTCTGCAGGGGCAGCAGCTTTAGGATATGAAATACAAGTACAGGCAATGGCTCGAGATATAACAATGTGCTGTTATTAATGTTCCCACACTAAAAAGCTTACAGCACTGACTCCCTCCACAAAGTTGACCCTTCAGCACACAGAGGTGGCTTTCCAGCAGTGCTGCTCCCACAGCCCACAGATCACTTGGTGTGGATATCTTTTAGGGGTTATAAATACATGGGTGCCAAGACACTGCAAATTCGGTCAAGGACATGGACCTGCGGGTCGTTTTGTCTCCTGGTGTACTGCAAATCAGAACAGCAAAGTGCTTTCCTCATTATGATGTTAATTTTTGCAAGGGAGGTAAAACAAAGCAGACTCTTCCTAAAGGAAAGAGCAGATGGCAAAATCTCAAGGCATGCTGCATTTTGTGTAAAAAGAAGGTGTTATGAATGGCTGGATTTGAAGGCAAAACCTAAATATGATTTAGCCTGCTCTCTCCTATTCCCTTTATTTAAGGACAACAGCTGACTGCCTTTCTATTGTATTTCAGAGGATGCCTCAAATGCATATTTCAACATCAGGCATCTGCTCCTTCCCAAACACCGAACAACCACAGTGCTTCATAACACTGTTTATGGCTGTGAAGTTCAGGGGCACTAATCATCCAACCCAAAAAGACTTCCAGGTGGATATTCAAGTATGAAGGCACTTGAAAATATGTGATGCCTTGAAGACAAGGGACTTTTTGTTTTCTTTGGAGAAACAAGACTGTTTAACTCTTCCTGCTCAGTACTGAGCATACCAAACATCCATGGATTTAATCACAGATGCCAATTAGCTGGAGAGTACATTGGCTATGAAGGAGCACATTCAATAAAACTGTTGAACCACCTGTCCCTTGAGGACCCACTGGACAGAGAGCTTGGCATTCTTCCTGCGCCTTCCATCTCTCTTGGACATGATAGACTCATCTCGTCCTGAGAGAGTCGAGGCTCTTGGTGGACCATCCACAGAGTACACACAAGGAAGGGAGCTCTTGTGCCATTTTCCCTCCAGCTTTCTCATGAATATACATTATGATAGACTGTAAGGAAAAACTGATCTTACAAACCCCATGCTGTTTGATTTACCTTGACAACAGTTGCGTTGCAGTTCCTGTGTCTTTGTGGTTTTGCTTTCTCTGTGCTTTGGCATTTTAAGCCAATGCTGATGTCAAAGCAGAGTTGGGCTTTCCCAAATTTTCCACTTTTGATAGCAATCTTGTCAGACCTCTCAAACCACAAAGATGTATGGGTGATGAGGGAGTTCTCTGAATGGCCAGACACTGCAGGGAGGGGCGCTGACTGTTCATTAATGTGTCACTCTGAGTCACTTGATGAACCCATTGACAGGAATGGGAAACCACAGTGTTTGTCAAGGTACAATGTTCTGAATGAAACAGAAAAAAAACCACTTTGGATTCCCAGATATTAAAACTTCTGGGGAGAAAACATTTTTATTTGAAATGAAAAAAGATAAAAAGCAAACTCCGCTGGATCAAGGAGTCCTCTGGAGAGTAAAGCTGATCTGGCACCTGGTGCCAGATCCCTTAAAACACTAAATGAGGAGTTCACCAATTAGCAATGTATGTGAACAGCTCTCTGACCTAAGTTCGCTTTACTCTGCACACATTATCTGATGGCTTGGAAGTGAGAGGGAAATTGTTCCCAGGAGGCATAGGGTCACTGTGATCTAATGTCTGCATTTGCAAAGCCAAGACTTGTTACTCATCTCTTAAGTGTCTGTTTTAAATAGTATTATTTCTAAAAGTAGCCACAAGACAGACTTCTAAAGCAATTCCTTGTACAAAACCATTGGTTCAAAGACTAGTACCCAAGTAGCATTTTCGCACTGTAAATATATTCTGTGCATTTCAGATTCTCCCTGTGGTAAATAATGGCTTAAGTAATGAAAATCACATTATAATGAGAATGACATGAGGCTTTAATGAGACCAGAGCTAGGAAAACTAAGCCAATTTTCTGTTCTCCTCAGAAATCAGGCTAAGGTTTATCATTAACGTATCATGATCAGCCTTAATTAGGTAATTAATGACAGTAGCAAGATAATAGCAAGGTGCTCTGCAATGTTATTCTAGCCAGTGTACAGACACATCACAAAAACCTGACCTTTGTCTAGAAAAGTTTACATCTCAAGAGAGAAGACTAGAACAGAAAGTCCCCAGCTGCCAACCGTGGGAGCACCCCACCTACAGGGTGACGACAAGGTGGGCTCTTCCCTACCCTCTCTGTTGGAGCCGAACCCTACATGAAGAAAGACCAAAGAGGGCTGTCACTGGTAAGGAGCCTCTGGCATTCCCACCAGGAAGAGCAAGCCCCAACCACTGCCCCTCACTCCTGGTGTCATTTATATATTTCCTACCATGAAGCAGGATCAGAGAAGTTCCCTGGTGCAAGGATCAGCCTTGCTCCTTGCAAGATCACTCCTCATTCCCCACCCTGGAAGAGCCCAAACAACATGCCACAGAGGCAGGGTCTCTTTTGCTTGTCTTCTCTTGCAGATCCACTCCTTTCTGCACAACAGACCAGCTGCAATTAGGGAAGTGTAGAGAACATTTCCTTCTCTCACTGACTTCCAGCAAACCTGTGAAGATGTTCATGTAGAAAGGGAAGCAGTGGCTTCGAAATCTCTCAGGCTGAGGGCTTGAAACTCAGGTCTCGCCATTTCTGGCCAAGTGCTTGAACTAGCAGATTTTTATACAAAAAGAGGGAATTACCCATTGCAGCTATAGTCAGGAAGAAAAGAAATGCTAACTGGTAATCTGTCCCCAAGGGCAGGATTATGGTTATGTGTGTGAGTTCTCGGCAAATCCCCGGCCTGGATGATTGCCCTTGCCATGTCCTGACTGTGTGCCCAGGGGACACCAAGATGAGCAGCAATCTTCCACTCTCTTCCACTCTCTGACTTTTGCAGGAAGAAAACATGGTCGTATGGTTTGGAAGTCATGACCCTCCCCAGCCAGGTCCTGGTTTGGCTGTATGGAGGACTATAAAGTGAACTGTGGGTCATCAGTGTTCTGCACTGCTGGATGTCCCAAGATACAAGCTGACACCTAATGTGGGCTTTCAAATAAATACCTAAGTCAGAGAGAAAGGTGGCATTTTCAGGGTTGACTCCTTTTGCACATTTCAGTCTGTCTGAGCAACGTCCTGCTCAGCACCTCGATGCTGTGGGCCCCATTCTAGGGTGCCAGTCTCCTCGTTGTGGCAGTGCCTTAGCCCTTGTCATGCTGAGGACCATCTGGCTGCCATTCCGTAGCCTGCCTTTCACTTGCACATTTGTACCCCTCCTCCTAAGCTGCCACAAGAGTGTTTTCCAGCTCTCCCAGGACAGTTGTTTTCCTCTGTTGCCAGTTGTTCTCACACTGTTCTCATGCTGTTATTTTTATGGCGTTGATTCACTGAACCTGACACTGTTGTTAAGGTGTGTTCCCAAGGGGAGCATCTGCCACTGGGATAAGAATCATGCCCACCCTTTATCTTCCCGTTGGTGATAGCTTTCAATGAGTGGACCCAAAAATACACAGATTAACAACCAGCAGGCATGCAAAGCCCACTCTGGTCAAAGTGTTCTCCCAACAGCATCGCAACCAGGACTAAAGCACAAATTCCCCCAAAACAGTTCCTGATGAAAACTATTTGGTTATTATGGGACATCGTGATGCAGGGACCCTCCTACATGGAAAAGACACCCAAGCAGGGGGCCTCATTACTTATTTTCCCAGCTGGTTGCTCAGAGAATTTTCCTTTTCCTTTATCTCTCTCTCTCTACTTCAACACTTGTGCCTTGCTGTCACTGATAGGCTGATAACAGCAAGGGCTGTTTGATAAGATGACTGCAAATGGCTCCTTAACTCAGGATGTGGTTATGACTGTATCTGAGAAAACTCATACATCCAGGCACTTGTCTTCACAGTTCATCGTTCTTTCAACCAGCTGATTGAGAAATGTACTGAGCTCTTCCAAGAAAAGAACTCATGAGATGTTCAGCTCAACTTAAGATCAGGCCTTTGAAAGAATTCTTGTCCCCTATTTATTATAAAAAAGACCATCAGCATCACCAGTTCTATGGTGATGGCCTGTGTTTGTTAAGATTTCATGATGTTACAGAAGTGTGGATCTGCTTCTTTGATGCAAACAGTGATGTCAGTTCATGACTGATGAATTTTTTTAATCGCCTTTATCTTTAGATCCACCCAGTAATTAAGACTTCGAAAGGGACTGTACCTATATGTTTGCATGCAAAAGATGATGCTCTGTGTGGAGTAACTCATTATATTAGCCGTTTCAATTCTGACTGAAGAGTTCCTTAGTCCTGCCAAAACTCAGGAGTCCATCCAGCTAAGAAAGATATGATTTGTTTGTACCTTTTCCAATTGCTGTAGGAGATTGACTTCAGCCAGAGTCCTAACCAGGACAAATCCAGACAAAGCACTGGGAACATACAGATAGAGAAGGCTCAAACTGAGAGAGCCCAACTTCCCAGCATCCTGGACAGCAGCTGCAAGAGATTTATTAATGTGATAATACATGAGATAGAAGGAAAGATGACTAACAAGCCTTTTGCTTGAAGTTGAGGCTGAGTGTCTCATAACCAGAAATACTCAACTGCCTTTAGGCAAAACCTTCCATCAGTCCCAAAGAGCAGACTGTTCACTGAGTGAGTAAACTGAAGCTGGGACACAGCAATCTCCCAAATCACTTGCCACTGCTGATTTCCACCCCTGGTGCTTTGAGCTCTAGCACGCAGCTCGCAATGCCCTGGCTCCAGATCAGTGTTGGCTCGACAACATCTAACATAACTCACACATTACACATTGTCTGGGGTTCGGCTGTCATGGCTATAAACAGCAAAATAAGTTGAGATAAGAGATTACCCAGATTACTGGCAGCAGTAGAAGCCGTAGAGCAACATTGGCAAGGCTGCTTTTGCTATCTGGAAGAAAGCTTAGTAGAGAGGAAAACAAGACTCTGCCCATACTGGGGGCACAGTCCTTGGCATCCTGCTAGGAGAGCAGGATACAGGCTGCCATCACCCAGGATTTATGACCAGCCACCCACGTTAGGGCATCTCCCCCAGCACAACATTTGCCCATGGCATGGCCTTGCTAAAGGTTCAGATGTGCAGTGGAGTCACTAAAGCCTAAGGAGGCCCTACGTGGCATCGTGGACCTTCTGCTCCATCATATGCTTAGCCTGAGCTGGAGGCAAAAAAGTTATACACTAACACCCTCCACAGCTCCTGTTTGCAACAGGCCAAGCGTCGTTAGAAAGGGGTCAGGGTCCTTTCAGAATGGGAGCCCATGGGTGCCCAGAGCAGTGGTGGGTGCCCATGACAGCTGAGCTGTTCATGAATGCACTCTTACCCCTTTGAGAAGAGCAAGGAGAGCACATTCATCCAACCCTCTTTCACTGAGGCTTAACATAATGTGTTTCACCTCCCGGCTGCCGAAGGCAAAGTGTGTGAATCAGTCAGATATTGCAGCACAGTTGACATGTAGGAACTCAGCCATGTGTCTCAGCCCTCTGGGCTAACTATTGTCACATTGTCCTTACTCCTGCATTTATCTCAGCCTGTTTATGACCCTGTGTGTTTGGGTCACATCAGATTTACTTTGTGCCTTCCCTTGGCAGGGGACAGGTTCCCGTTTCATTTTTGCCATGCATTTTTCCCTTTTCTGGGATGCTGTGGTTTAGACTCCTTTCCTTCCAGGCAGGGGGGTGATTTGCTGAGCTCCACAAATACTTTTTATGATTTGACTTAAACACCCCATTTCTGAGCCTTTCTCTTAATATTCAGACATGTTCCTCTATTGCTCTCCATGCAAGTAATAAGGCTCTTTTCATAGGAAAGCAAACAAACAGCTTAGCACTAAAATCTGTTTAAAACAGATAAAGTTTAAAGCCTTACATAAAAAGTGGGTCTGATTTTTGCAGTCCTCATTGTACTCAGTGGAGCATTTTGTCATTATAACTTTGGACTACAGCAAAAGAACCTTGCAATAAAAGGCTGCCATAAATTGACCTTTTGTTGCAAATTCTGCCATTCAAGCATAAAGCAGCAAGAAAGGCTACATAAGCTGTGTTAAAAGTAGGTCACTGTACACCCACTGTTACCAGGGCTGGTCCTGGCTGCGTGTTGCTAACTGGTCTCTTGGTTGGAGCAGCGATAATGCACACAGGTGAGATGGTGAACTCATCACACCACTTCATCTGGCGTAGAAAGGCCAAGTGGTGTGTGGGGGGGTGGTTGAAAGCCTCGTTCCTGGTTAGGGCAGGACTCCTGAGGACCAGCTATATAGCTACTTTCTGAGAAATGGGGCATCCTGGTAGCAGGGATGATTTTTCTGCAGAGAGCCTGGTGGCTGGTACTGCCACCCCTTAGGTAGGTCCTGGTACTGCAGAAGTGACACCAGGAGCTGGTGGGAAGCTCTACTGGTAATACTACAGCTCTAGATGCAGCAACAGTACTGCAGGTCTGTGCTGCCTGGACTAGCCAAGCCTCTCTCTCTCCCCTCTGTGCTCACATCGAGAGCTGGGACAATGTGACCTACGTGGGTCTCCCTGCCATGGTGGTAGTCTTCTCCTCTAGCCCAGGGCATCTTTCCTTTCCCCAGGAAAGATTAAAGTCTGTTATGCTCTGGCTGGTACCAGGTGTAGGGAAACAGAAGGGGATGAAGAAATGACTGCTCTGAGGGTCTCACTCTTCCAGTCTCATTGGTTTAGTCTCCACTATCAAATAAAGTCACTCAGACCACTGTAATATTAGCTCACTCTCAGCTAGAGAGCAGAGTAAAAGAGACTTTTATCTCCTCCACAACTGTCTGAACTGTCACTGGTTCTTCACTGTTGGTCCTCAGAAACATTCAAGTGGTCTCAGTCTCTGCAGCTCCAGGAAAGTCCAAGTTAAAACAACAGTGTCTTAACTCACCCTGTCCCCTTCCAGGGCTACATATTATGTGTGATGCCTGTTAGAGGATCCATGGGTTTTTCCAGCATTGTCAACATTACTAATGAGAAAGTTGAATCCAAGACTAAAAGTCAAGTCAACAGGTCTTTATTAACTCCAGGAGTCAACAGGTCCTTTCTCTATAACTCCACTGGGTTGGCTACAGACATTACCTCAGAAAAACACCATACTCCAGGAAAATGCTTAAGTGCACAAAGCTCTAAAATTCCCTCTCAATTTGAGTGAACAAAGCTCAGGGTCAAATGTTTCCTTGACTCAGACCCTAACCAGCATACTACAGATAATAGGAACCGAGTGAGTCATAGTAACTCCTCAAGTGAACAATTATAACATCCGTGTTTCCCCTGACTATCCAAGCTTATCTGACTCAGCTGCACTAACCAGTCCAAAACGATCTGTGTTCAAGATCCAAACTCATCCTGGAGATTGACAGCAGGCCCTGGCAGGTGATAGAGAGCAAGAGCACTTCCCCAGAACAATTCTGCCTTGTCCTCAGCTCAAGGATTTCCTGTTAAATCTTTTACTCAGCATCAGGAAGGAGACTTCATTTACTATCCTTGACATACAATGACATGATAGACTGAAGAGGAGAAATTGTTCTCCTTTATATCTCCATTATAGACTTACACAGTGAAATAGTACACAGCCTTTGATCTTGTTCTGTGTTCTGCATTCTGCATCATCTTTGCAGCTGATTGAAAAAAACCTAAATATGAGTTGATTTAAAGACATTCAAAGGAACAGACTAGCTAGATTTTATGATTTGTGCTGAATTATTTATTGCATGATAAATAACTCACCTGTTTTAGCAGACAATCTGTCTACCCGTACCCTTCCATGGGCTGCTGTTCAAAAGGGATTAAACACTATCAGAGGAGAGAAGAAGCAATGGGAGCAAGATGATGGTGCCCGGTCACCAGAGGAAGAAACAAAATGAGGAATTTGTTTGAGGTTTTTTTAATTATAACACTGATAGATATTAAGCAGGAAGGTTCTTACCAATACTTCTGTGACAGTTCTGAGTGTTCCCAAATTGATGTAAGGGGCAGTGTAAGGCAACATAAACCTTGTCCAACTGGCTTATCTGACACTGAAGGTGTTGCATTTAATGTGCATTTTTGACTAGTTTTGAAGGACTTGCACCAAAATACATTAAGTACACTTCTAGATATTATATGGTAAAAGGTCTGTGGCCTATATGGCACAGAAGAACCAAACCTAAACATAGACAGATTAAAACAATGCTCAGCATATGCGTGCCAAAGTTTTTAACTTCCCTTGAAACAAAGCTCACAGAATTTCTGTTGTCTTTGTAAGCCAGATTTTCTGAAGAGTTTATGCAGTCAAATTATCTGTGTGTTCACAGATGTATAAATGCACAGGTGTGCCCACCCCACACAATCACAGAACAGCTGAGCATTTTTGGGGACCATCTGGTCTGATCCCTGGTCAAAGCAGGAGCAATTAAAACAGTTTGCTCAGGGCTGCGTCCAGTCAGGTTTTTAATATCTCCAAGGATGGAGATTCCACAACCTCTCTGGGCAACCAGCTCCAGTGTTTGACCACTGAACAGTAAAAACTTATTTCTTTTGTTCACAAAGGATTTCCTATATTTGTGTTTATGCCCATTGCCCGTCTGGTGGTGTCACTGGGCACCACCACTGAGAAGGGTCTGGCCCATCTTCCTTACTCCCCTCTCCCCTGCAGTCAGATATTTATAAACATTGATAAGTTCCCCTTCAGCCTTTTCTTCTCCAGGCTGAATAAGCCCAACTCTCAGCCTCTGCTTATACAGCCCTGAATCATCTTTGTGGCCTTTTGCAGGACGCACTGCAGCAGGTCCATGTCTCTCCAGCCCTGGGCACAGGAGTTCAGATGTGTCTCACCAGGGCTGAGCAGAGGGGCAGGATCACCTCTCCTGACCTGCTGGCAACCATCAGCCTGACGCAGCCCAGCAGGTTGGTGGCCACCTTTGCCACAAGGACACATTGTGGCTCATGTGTCACTGCTCCCAGTTCTTTATCATCTGCAAACACGCTGAGGGTGCATTTGGCCCCATCCTCCAGGTCACTAATGAAGAGATTAAACAGTACTGGCCCCGGGGGACCTCAGTGGTAATTGGCCTCCAGGTGGATTTTGAGCTGCTGATCTCCACCCTCTGAGCACAGCAGTTCAGCCAGTTTTCAACCCGTCTCACTATCCACTTAACTAGTCTGTACTTCAACATTTTGTCTCGTGAGTGTTACAGGAGACAACGTCAAGAACCTTGCAAAATAAACAGCATCCACTGCTCTCCCTTCATCCACTGAGTCAGTCATGATTTCACTTCTATAAGTTTGTGAAATTTCTTGGGATTATTTGCTCTGTTTCCTAGGGATCATGGTGAGGCTGATGTAGTTTCTGAGATTCTCCTTGCCCACCCTGAAGACAGGAGTAACGCTGACCTTTTACCAGGCCTGAGGAATCTCCTCAAGTTACCACAACCTTTCAAAGATAACTGAGAGCGACCTCGCAATGACATTGACCAGGCACCTCAGTAATCATGGGTGCATCCCATCAGATTCCATGGAATCTTGTATATGTCTAGTCTGCCTAAATGTTCCTTAAATTAATTGTTTTCCATCAAGAGCAAGTCTTCCTTGCTCCAGACCTTCTCACTGGTTTCAGGCACCTGGTGTTCCTGTAGGCAAACTGTACTCGAAAAAACAAGGCAAAGAAGGCACAGAGTCCTTTGACCTTTTCCATGTCCTTTGGCACCAGTGTCCTTGCCCTATTTTCATCTTATCATCACTGCAACCAAGGCTACCCCTGCCCTGACTTTCATACTGCTGACTAGTTCTTCCACACTGGTAAGCATCAGGTAGAGCAGAGAGCTTCCTTTGGCTGGCTCCTCCATCACCTGGGTCTGGAAGAGAGTTATTCTTAACTCACTTTAGAAACAGCCATGATTGCTTGTGCCCTGCTATGTTCTCCCAGAAGCTACCAGGGTGGTTCAAGAACCAGACCTGCAAACATCAGGCTTCTCCCAATTGTCTGGTGGAGACCAAACAGGTGTTCAGTCTCCTTCTTCCCAATCAGGTGATCTGTAGGAGACACCTACCACAGTTGCTCACATTGGTCTGCCCTTTAATCCCAACCCATAAGCTCCCAGCTGGCTCATCACCCCTCCCCAGGCAAAGCTACAGGCACTCCTGCTGCTCTTTCACATGAAGTTCTTTTCCAAATCTTAAATGATTTCAGAGAAAGATCTATCTCAAGCATACAAAGTTCCTACTACATTTTTCATGGAAAAATGTCTCCATGAGGGGGGCAGAGCGAACAGACAGACACAAAATAGGACTGCGGGACTCAGGAGCTACACAGCTACATCATAGAACATCCTATGTGAGATGTTCCTTACACAGTGAGAGTCCAGATCACAAAGTCATTGTCCAGTCCTATCACTGCATGTACTTCCCTCAAGAATTTTAACTTAGCTACAGCCTCTTAAGAGTAATGTACGAACTTAAGGATTTTCAACTATCAGGGAAAATACAAAATACCATTCATTAGGTCATACATATTGGGGCTCACATTTTTAAGTATCTCATGAGCACTGGAAGCTCCCAGTAATGTCAGTTGTTTTTATAGTTTTGACACCACACTAGCTATTACTGCTTATTTGTTCTTTACTGAAGGCCAGAGACAAGTTTACACCAAGCTCATAGAGAAGAATGAAATGGAAATCCCTAAGTCTCCAAATGCAGACACAGCTCCCACTTGCTCTTTCAGAACCCTTCGTCTCTCAGATTTACATGGGAGGAAGAGGGAATGAAGCCAGTCACTAAATGAAGTTACAAACTGCCCTTCAAACCCTGAAGAATTATTCTGATGGCTGTTGTTGACATTATGTTTATTAGTTTCCTGGTGTAAACAGACATATGTTCCGTGGAAAAACTAAAAATTGGACTTAAATCAGAGTTCCCACAGCTTGTTTGTGATTACAAACTTCTTGGAATTGTTTTAAAGCTTATCACGATTTGCCTGCTTTCTAAATAAGCAGGAATGAGGAACAAAAACACCAGTTGTTACCTCAGGCAGGTATATCCTTCCATAGGGCTACTCTAGTGCCAGAGTGTGTCCTCGATTTGGGGTTGCTGCAGGTCAGATGTGGAAGGAGCCCTCAGCACCAGTGTCCTGATGAGGGGAGCTCAGTGCTGCTCCCAGCACAGCGAGAGCAGCCCTCACCCCAGGGAACGATGGCATAGCTGGCCCTGTGCTATGGAATTAGAAGCTCCTCTTTTGAAAGGGTTCTTTGTTTCCATAAATAATGGGCAAAATTCTTAAAAGTGCAAATCTGCTTTCTCAGAAGTGATAGGAAGCCCTTGAGCTCGAGTCTCCAAGGCAGCTGCAGCCGAGTTACCTGATCACAGGAATCTGTAGGATCCAACATGCCCAAATACTTCTGAGGATCTGTGCCAGGAGCTTGAGTTTCACAAATAAGAAATGAAACAAAGACTCCAAAGTGCTGCTTTTTTGCTTAGCTGTTCTAATATGGCCTTGTGAAACACGTCAGTAGACCAAAGAAAAACTAAGGACTTCTAGTTGTGTCTGGCCTTTGTGATTTAGAAAAATTTACCCCAAATCCAAAGCTAGTTGTCCACCTGTCCACCAACCATTCTTGAGAAAGATCTGCTGTCCATTACACCCTGCAAATCATCTGGACAGCACTGTCCTGGTGGTTGGATGCCTCCCTCAGGCCAGAACAGCCATGGCTGAAGTGATGTTACGCAGGGGCAGAGCTGCACAGCCTCACGGGCTCTCCCCTCTCCAGTGATGTGTGACCAGCACTAAATACTGTTCCAGGCAGAAGAGCGTGTTAGATGGAGAATGCAAACTGGCTTTCCAGGCTTTTGTAAGTCTGTCTGCCAGTTGATGTCCCAAAGGGCTTTTATACTACCTGCAAGGGGACCACTCCAGGGTTGATGTCAGGGGATTTATGTCACCACAAGCAATCCTTAGGTAATTTTCTGCAGCCCTGAATCATTTGTAATGAATTATTGCCACCACAGTCACAGAACATCTTAAGCACAGGTGTAATTTCTCTTCTTACTGCCAGCATTCAGGTTTTCAGTTTCTCTTGTCCTTCTCTAAACCTCTTTTTTTCTCACATGCAAACAAACATTTCAGGTAGTAGCTTTGTCTCCAGTAGATTATTGCATTTTGTCCTTCAAGCAGTTCTTCTGATATGAAATCCCAGAGCCATCCAAAAGGCATTGACTGTAATACCAACGGGTTTTGAATTAGTTATAAATACAAATGGCAGGCAATATTTAGAAAGAAAGAAAAAAGGAAAAGCCCCATGGAGTTGTTATTTCTATTCACTTGCATCTGCCCACACTGCTTGCAGATGACAAGACTGTAGAATTAAATACAAAAGTAATGTGAAAAAATGTCATCTAAGTTGAACATTTGTAGTAGACCCAAAGCTGACCTGGCCTTCGTGGTTTCTTTTGCTAAATCAGGGGTGTTATTTTTCTTGTTGCTGTGTCCGTGTCCAGCTGAAACTCATGGTGTCTGAATCCCATCCCTCCACAGCGACATGCTGGAGACCCTTCTGTGGGAATGCCCTATGTTAGCATTACTGCAAATGACATGATGTGCCAGTACAGATGTCAGGTGAGAATTTCAGTTATGACAAAAATCAGTACAAGGCCTGGCCAGTGTACCAGGAAACCTCTGCAGGCTTATGCAGTCCTGTTTGTTCCAGTTACATCAATCAGTGTTGCCCTGGCTCAGGAAGAACTACAAACAATTATTTTCAAATAACAAAACTCCCAAAATGTAATTGAAGAAACTCTGAACTCTGCTTTATTCCCATATAAAAGAAAACATTCCATACATATCAGGGATTTGTCAGAATTCCCCTTC